ATTCCAAAAAAAAAAAAAAAAGGGTTGTAGGGCTTAAAATTCCCTACAACCCCTTTTTTTTTTTCCCTATGATTTAAATCAGGAAAATTCTGGTAAAATCGGGTCCACGCCACAAGTGAATTCTTATATTTATATATTCATTTACTTCTAATTTTTATTTCTAGTTCTTATATTTCAATTTATATAGAAAAGAATATTACTATGAATACATACATATAATATGCAAATATTCTAAATAATTGTATTAATTATATGTAAATATTGTAAGTAATTACAAGCAATTACAATACAATAAATTCAATAGAGCAAAGTAAAGGAGATAGACCATTATCTAATACAATACAATGATAAATAAACAGAATCTTGTAATAGATACAATCTTAGAATAGTATGAATATTAGATATTGAAGAATATTTTATTAGAGAAATTTCTTCGTTTATTTATTCATATTGAAATCAATAGAATCTCAAATATTCTATTTTTTTTTTTTTTTTTTGATTACTAATTCAATTCATGGATTAGGACGGCCGCGGACGCGGCCACATATGCGGCCGCCATCCGAGATCAGCCCCGCGGACGCGTCCGCGGGCGTTTCATAGCGTTGGTCACACCAAGACGAGAGAAGCCGACTGGGAGCGCTGGAGGTAGTGAGCCCCGGGGATCGACCGAGAACCTATTTCGAGACGGGCCGCAACGAGGTTCGAACTTGCCCCGAGGAGTCACGACACAGCCTGGCCGCGGGGCCACGTAGGCTAGGCCAGAAGGATGATACAAATGGCGATCGCAAAATGCAATGGGTTCGCTCCTCCTCGAATCTGGTAGGGCCGGTCACTCGAGCTCTAGCAAACGGAGGTCGGTTCAATTGACTAGGGGATCAAAAAGAGGGAGGCGGGGCGAACGTATGGAGACGAAAGAGGGGGGGGTCAAGCTAGTTGAACTCTAGCTTCAAGAAACCAGAATGGCAGGAGAAAGAAAAGAGAAAAAAAAGGGGGAAATGTGGCTGGATCGGACGAAGAATGGATGAACAAGAAGCAAGAAACGGTTAGAAAGGAGCGCGTGATAACTGTCGCAGTTCGAAAGAGTTGAAAGGAGGGCCAGACAGGCCGTACGAAAGTTGTTGGAATCGAGCGGGAACGGGAGGGCGCAACAGCATAGGCCGAAGCAAGAGAGAGTGAGGATGGGAAGATGGAATGAGGCGCGGGGGCAGGGAGCGAGCGAAGAAGAGAAGGTGGGATGCCTGGCGCGAAAACACGCAAGCGAAGTTTGGAGGAATCCGGTGTATGTGGAAAGATCGGCGAACCCGATATACAAATATAGGGAACACTCACCGGAGAGCGAGCGCACGCGGGAACGCATGCAAAACGGGCGTAGGAGGTTCGGGATCCAAAAGGAACGTAGAAACGAGGGATCATTGGGTGCAGTAAGAGTGAGCGGGATCGCGAAGTCGGCGGGAAGCTAAAAATTTTGGGATCAGCGCCAAAACGGAGGAAGGAAGAGACAAAAGGAATCAAAGGAGGAAGGTGTATAAAAGAGGGGGGAGGCGAACGTGAAGAAGGGAGGCGCATGTCAAACTTCAGTAGCGCTCGACAGCGGGTCGGCGCTCGGGCGAACGCAGGAACGAGAAGCGCGGGCACGCGCGAAACCAGCGTACGTATGCACGGACGAGCCAGAAGAACGCACTTCTGAGTAGCCTGCGAAGGTGCGAGAGCGATAGGGGCATACTCGGGCTACTCTATGTGCCCGAACAAGCGGGGAAGGATCCGCGCACGAGCTGTGCGGGAGTGGGCGGGGAAGAGCCGACGAGTCCGAGGGTCCCAAGGCACTCTGGTGCGAGGTAGGAGGCGACGGTCGCGGCGTCAAGCCAGACCAGAGCGCAAGCGAGGAGGGCGAGAGGCGAGAGGGGCTCTATGTGCGAGGTGCTACGTCAGAGCGGAGTGGTCCGGCCGCGGCGGGCCGTGCGTGAGAAGGAGCACGGAGGACGCTAGGCTGCGACACGGCTATCGATCCGGGCGAGGGGCGAAGGAGAAAGGAGAGAAGAGACAACGAAGGTGAACATGGAGGAGGAAGGGAGAGGGGGATTCTCGTGCGTTCGCGGTCGGGGGATTCTTCG